GTTAGAAGGCAAGTTACGGTAAGGGCACTGCACAGTACTCGTACAGTACTAGGGGGTGGAACAAAGTCGGGTGCGTTTCCAAATCAAGAGAGGTAATTTTATGAAGACTAAGCTACGATAGGAAGTGTGAGTGATATCCTGTGAACAAAATTGGGGAGGGAAAAAAGTCGGGTGCGTTTTTGTTATTCTTATAGAAATAAAAACTAAAATACAAAGCTCAATATCTTGTTGCTCCACCATTAGCATCTATAACAGCTTGTAACCGGTCTGGCATACTTCTAATTAAGCTTTCCAGCCTAGTTTCAGGAATTGTATTCCAAACCGCATTTAATGCTGCTTCCAATGTAGGAATATCAGCAATTCTTCCCCATGTCTCCCCCAGTTCATTTTCCATATCTAACCATAGTGCTTCAATCAGATTTAGATCCGGAGACTGAGCTGGCCATGGTGTAGATTCCATTTCATTTAACCTCCGGTACTGAATTGCAAATGCCTTATGCCCCGGCGCACCATCCTCGACGACCGTAACCCAACCGTATTCCTCGCAACATTTATGCCAAAAAGGCACTAGATGCGGATACATGATCCTCTTAACATATTCTCCGGAATCTATTTTGGCTTTACCAGGAATAAGAGCCAGCTTAGATTTCAGAGTCCCACAAAAACCACCCCAAATCATCTTTGTTTGGCGGCCAGACTCAAAGGTCTCGTCAATACAATCTTCGTGAAACTCCTCTGAGGGTTTCCGCGTTACCCATGGCCGGTTGCCAAAACCCGCTGTCGAGAATGATGACTCGTCAGTCCAAAGGACACGAACCCAGTCATCATAGGTCCAATCCAGTCGTTCCTGACACCAAGCGACACGAATGGGTCGATTTGCAGGACGGATAGCAAATTTTCGGCGAGGTACCCGGCGATGGTAACCCATTGAATGCATGACATTCTTCACTGTCCTTGGACTACACGCGTAGTTCATTTCCAAACAGATTTCCTCCCAGCAAAGACGCCTTGTCCTCGCATCGCGTGTCACAAAGGCTTCCAAACGCGCCTTTTCACCCTCGTCAAATATGGGTTTACGGTCGGTCCGTTGACAATTGGAGGGAGTCCAATTCTTTTTGGATCGATCATAAATCTAACTTTCAATTAGCTTCAGAAATTCTCAGAATAGGAATAATAACTTACTCGCTTGCAGGTTCTTCGATCAATGTTTAGGTGCTGACCAATTTTCATCCAGCGCCATCCAGCTGTATCCCGCAGGGTGATAACCATAAGGCGTTCATCACGTGTAGTTTCATGGTGCCGGACACCAATGGGGTTTTGTTCACGAACACCCTTTTCTTTCATGGCTTTTGCTCTGAATATGCACGTTGACCGTTTGGTATGGGAGGAAGGTAAAGGATGGTTACAGCAGGCCAAATGTGCCTGTTGTGGTAAAAGGGGTAGCATGGCTGGGATGGTGTGGCTTGTAGCACCGCACCCGAAATACCCTTACACCCGAGTACAGTACGGGTCCCGTAGGCAGGATTTTGTATCCTATCATACATTATGATACAACATCTCCTACCGGTACCTTGAGCCCCGCCACCTTAACAGCAGCAGCGGGGCTGGAATGGTTTCCCTTTTCCCCCCTTGCTTCCCCGCCCAGTTGTTCGGATAGGATGTGGGAGCGAATGAGGCTCCAGCTGCCCTGAACCGCTCGGAACCACTTATTTTTGCTTCTTTCCTGTTTTTCCTTTTTCCCCTTCCTTTGCTTCTTTGCCCCCCACCCTACCCCACCCACGACTAAACCCTGCACTACACATGGTAGCTCGCAGCAAGGGAAGGGGGGGGGGGGGGTGGAGAGAGGCCAGCCTTGATAAGGCTGGGGGGTCCAGCATTGAGCGATCCTGAGATGTTACTCTGATTATGATGCCTCTGCTAATAAGCTCTAATAAGGGGACCACAATAGTTTTTGTTTGAAAGCGAGAAAATACAAAACTCCAGGCTCTAATTCCAGCTTCCTCGTTCGTTAGTCTAGATAATAAGTAAGTCCTCCTCATGAAAACGAAGCCCTAAAGAAACCATATTTCGCAGGAGAGGCCCAAAACTAATCAAACACTACCTCATGGAAGCGATGCATTCACCAGCCCTACCCTCACAACCCAAGATGGCCCTCCAATCCCTGCCCAACGAGCTCCTCCTAATGGTAACGGAATACCTCTCCCCAACCGACATTAAGCACCTCATCGAAACAAGCAAACAGTTGTCAACAATAACGAAGCCCCTCCTGGACCAGATCGCAATGCAAGACAAAGAGGGCCTCACCTCACTCTGCTGGGCCTCCAAGCATGGCCACACATCACTTGTATCCCTCCTTCTAAGAATGGGGGTTGATATCACTGTTCCGAGCGGCCGCTTCGACGGCACGCCACTCCAATGGGCGGCCTTCTTCTCCCAGGAAACCATAGTCCACCTCCTCCTATGCCACAATGCAAATCCAATGGCCCGCGACCGCTTCGGCGCGACAGCCCTCCATTCAGCGCTACACAGTGACGAGCACACAATCCACCTACTCCTGGAACATGGTGCGGAACCCAATGCCGTGGACATCGACGACGAGACACCACTGCACTACGCCGCCTTCTGCGGAAACACCGCAATGATTAGAATACTGCTAGAGCATGGCGCCGACGTCAACTTCCGGAACGCGGACGATGAGGTCCCGCTTCACCATGCGGTGGATATATATGGGAAAGCGTCGCTAGGGGATCAGAGGGAGGCGTTGGAGATACTACTGTGTGCCGGTGGAGACGTGCATGCTCGGGATTACATGGGGAGGATGCCGCTGCATTGGGCCGCGGAGAAGTGCCACCTGAAGGCTACCGAGGTGCTGCTCGAGGCGGGCGCTGATGTGCACGCTAGGGATTCAAACGGCGATACGCCGCTGCACCTGGTTGCTAGAGCACAAAAGGGGCAGAATGGGAGGGAAGTTGAGGGGGTGTTAATCTCCAAGGGGGCTAGCTTACTCGTGAGCAGCTTCGTGGAGAGATCGGTGGCTGCGCTGGGTAGGAGGTACGGCCTCGTAGGTTTGATCGGGGGGTCGGGCGATAAGAGAACAGCTCAGGATTTACAACGGGGGGAGAAAAAGAAGAAACTAAGGAGGATTAGAGCACTTCTGGATCAGCAGTAATTGGCGGTGGAGTTATCGTTTCCTCGGGACCGGTTCGGGATAGACTCATTCATATTTTTCTAGCGTTGGTGTTCATGTCTTCAATTCCATTTCAATGTTTAATTCACAGATATATGTAAACTTTACCAGAACATGTCTTCCACGGGGAAACCCGGGATTCCCTAGAACCAGTGTAAGATGGCAATCAGTCGAGTGTGCAGCAAGTTTATATCGTGGTCCGTCTGGTCCAAATTCGCAGAGACAAGATAACCGGGCCGGACGTATAAAGGTACTGTACCACCCACAACTGCGCGCTGGTACAGTACTGGTATCAGAAGCGTAGACTTTAAAAACTTGCACCATGATTCATCGGGACGGGCCGACGATCAGAAATCCACATTCCACCTATGATACCGGGATCATCATGATTACCGATGAGAGCAAATCCCAAGAGAACACCACTCTGTACGATACTCTAAGCAAAAAAAAAAAAAAAAAGACATAAATTTATCATACATGACAAACAAGAACTGATATATATCATACCCACCAGAGTGATACCCCATGATAATACACACAACCCCTGATAACCAACCACAAAAAGTCGCACACACACACCCCCACCACATTTTACGATACTATAATATCGCATCATAACTTAATATATCTTACCAAAACCACCCAACCCCGACCTTCATCAGCAACACAACCTAAAACGACCCACCAGGCCACAATGCAAATATAAACATCTTCCGCCCGAAAATTGCAGTATAATACTATCACAGCACAGCCACATCAATTCCTAACCCTTCGCCCCCCCCCCCCCCCTTCCGACCTCTGTGCCACACCAGTGAATCCAATCTCGCATCCCGTACCTCAGTCGCTCAATCTTTCCTCCGGTCGTTGTTCCTAATAGACATTGTGACACCGCATCTGGTACGCCGTGGCCGTACTATTTCATAGCGGGGTGTAACGGTGATGCTAATCGTGGGACCTCGGAATTCCTACCAGGTGGCGTCATGGGGTATCACACGGACGCTGGCAACCCGACGGAGCCTGCTGGAGTGTGGAGAGGGGTGATGGATCTAGCCTCTTGGCCGGGGGGTATGCCGGTTTTAGTTTAGTTGAGTTGTGAGTGTGATAGATATCGTGGTATGGTATGGTATGGTACGTACTGCGTTGAGAGGGAACGTGAGAGAGTGAGGGGTGGACTAGATGAAATTGCGATGCACCGCTTGGACTGGGGAGATTGAGATGCCCGTCGTTTATGAGTTGCTAGTCCGTGTGATGAATGAATGTTTGAGAAGGGGGGGGGAGGGGTTGGAGTCTGCACTTATGCCTAATCTTCCCGGCCCGCTACTCGGATTGTTCGCTGATTGCACTACTTGCCACTTCGGTGCTAAGGAGACTAACAGCTGTATGGTATCATACTCTACCTTTTTACCATCCTGCTCCTAGGCTTAAGCACTAATCAAATACTACTAAAAAAAAAAAAAGACAGACTACAAAGTTCACGATTACAAACTGCAAAACCCGGGTCCTTTCTCCTTCCTCTTATCTCTCTTCTTTCTTTTTTTTTTTTTTTACTAGACAGCTACGAGGGTGGTGTGTCCTCCTGATGAACCGTCACGCCAGAAAAAAAAAAAAGTTACGACGGCCCGCCCGCCCGTTTAGTATCCCCATCCACCGCACGTGCTATATTAATGTAGGCACGTACGTATATATACACAGCATGTGGCACGAATGCCTTGCGCTGCCATGTCTGATGGACTGCATGGGCTATGTTAGGAAACGGCAGGTGGATGCTGATGAAATTACCTTTCGGTCTCGACTTGACTAGCCCATGGTTCACTTTACGTTTAGGAAGAGGCGAGTGAACGAGTAGATAACCGGGTGAATTTCTGTCGGTGGGGGTGGAGATGGTTGTCGATATATCATACGGCGGCGGGGGGGGGGGGGGGGGTAGTATACTGCCTTGAGTGGTAGGTGAGGGCTGTGACCGGAGATGTACTGTACAGAGGGTTCAGCGCCGTTGGTATCGATTAAAGATATCATACTGCCTCCGTCCCACTATGTTTTTATCCTGAGGCCTGGTGGGTATCGGGTTCCTTGGGGATCTGGCACAGAGAGTCCTTGCTAATTGACTAGGTAGGGCTCTTTTATATGCTCGAGAGGGGAGCTCTCCCGCACTGGTACATGAGTACTATATAATCGGTATGTATCATATCATAATATTATCAATAATTTTACGGTATTGTCAGCCTGTCCCTAGCCACACTATCAGTGGTTTCTAAGGGTAGGGGTAGTATATTTGAGCACTTGTTTACATATCATGCCAGATCCCCTGCCTTACTCCCACTACTACTATGATACCCCAACAGCAGAAATCTTGCTATAACACCCACAGTTGCACCGCCTCAGCACTGCGACCAGTCATCAATACAAAAGATTCAAGCACAATACTAGAACCATCCTCCAGCACCTAATAATCCACAGAAGCCTGTTGTTCCAGCAAAAGCCATACCATCCCATTTCCCACTTCTTTCGCTACCCCACAAGCACCCAAATACACCAACCATCACCAAACCAAACCCTACCCAACCCGATGCCTTCTCCTTATAAACCAAACATCGCAGAAAAGCAAGGCTTAGACCTAACCCCCAACCCAGCGTAACTTACTTCAACCCAATCTCAACTCCCACATAACAAAGTCCTCACTTCTCCTCCTACAGAGAACAACAGCATATCCATTTCCACCAACTATGGTACCACTCAATTTCCATTATTCTTGTTTGTCAAGATGTAAAGATCTTCCCGCACCCCACACAACCCACATACCAGTGGCCACAAACATGAGTTGGTTGGAGGTAGTATGAGTTAGCTTGGACAACTCATAGATAATTCCTTCGTGCATGATAAGACTGTTATGTACTGACTCGGATAGAAGAAAAATATTTCTTCCACTTGTTCTAAAATAGATGGATAGTATAAGTTTGGAAAACATTTTCTTAGGTCTTGGACTATATCTGCCTCTTCCTAATACTGACTCTACTTATACCATAACTTGAAATGCGAGAACATTTGAGGGGGGAGGGGAAGAGAGAAGGAAACCAAGAGAATGCAAGTATATCAAGAAAGAGACACTACAGTGTCATAGGAAGGAGGGAGAATGTGGGGAGAAAATTATTGTAGTGTAGTGGGATAGCATGAAGAGAAAAGGGTTACAAGAATACAAACACTTTCATGTTGTGACACTAGGTTTGGGAGACTTTCTATAAAGCCTAAATTCATATAGTGTGATATAAAAATGACTTGTAGAAACCTTCTAAGCAAAATGCTGTATACTGTTATCCTAACCTTATATGATACGATACATCTAATTTTGAAAATTAAAAAGGGCGCGGTTTAAAACCCAAGTTTCAAAATGATTGGTCAGTCAGGCATTACAGTTACCATCACAGGAAAAGCCGCCACACGTTTTTGTCAGGATGTTGGTTCTGAGTTTGGTCTTCCGGAAACATATCATACCATATCAGAAACGGCGACGCATCCTATACCCTGTGCTCATACTCGAGTACAGTACCATACCCTGTGGCTGTCTTCAGCTCGAATAACCAATCTTCCCCATTCTGTATCTGCCAAATCATCCATAGTATATATCGTACAGTAGTCTAATGAGTAGCTCCCACTGACCGACGGAGGCACGATATAAACCGTGGGGGTCTTCGCTGATCAGGGAAGTGAACTCTCGGATCTCGATGCCGGGAGGGCACTACCGGTATATCGACCTCCAATCAGCATCCCGGAATGCTGTTTCACTTCTTCACCTCCTCCTCCTTCTTCTTCCACACCTTAACACTTCGTACCGGCATCTCCGGGGGGTGGATTGGCGTACCGCGCCTATTAGCTAGAGGTGCCACTAGTAGAAGATATATCTATGATAGTCCACCCCCGGCACTGTGCTCGAGCACGAGTACAGTACCGGTGCTAAAAATTAGCACAGCACCGTATTGCGTTCAACCTTAATTAACCCCAAGAACGGAGCGGCAGATTCTCGCAATATCCAAACACCCATCCACCAGCCTGCCCCACCACGCCTCCATTCAATACTCGAACAAGCAGAACATCCCTGCAAGCAAACGTTTCGTCTTACCGGAAGATTGTCGGCTTCCAGAGACTAGTCGGTGGCGATGGAAGTGGGGCGTTTGGAACAAAGAGTGGGAAGGAACGACACCAGTAGTCATGTTTCACGCACTCAAGTCGAGTTTTACCATTCGTGCGTTGGATCTCGGATGTTGGTATGCGAGTCCCGGTCTGTGGTGACCACTGCGCTCGCCGGCTCAGGATTACCTTAGCTTATGCGCCATTTAAGCATTGTGCCAGAACTCCCCCCCCCCCTCTTTCTCTCTTTTTTTTTTTTTCCTTGGCAGCAACATCACGATTTGCGGGTAGGTGCGGAAAAGTACCGTACGAGTACATTTCGGCAAGGGAGGCGACCCTAGTGCTCCCTGCTCCCCTTCCAGCGCTGATGTGAGCCGCGAGAGAACAATGCGCCACATGGTGGGTTTTGGAAGATCTGTATCGCAGCAGGGGGCGTATGGTCACGGTAGAATGCTCATATCAGCCAAAAGTTCTGGTTTGGCTGAGTGACCAGCGATGACTATTGTATGTTAGGGTGAGCTATGATATCTGTCTTCTACTGGGGGCTTCGGACATGCCACTGCGGATAGGCAGCATACGGCTACTGCATTTCTCCAACTGCACGGCACTGTAAAACTGCAAATATGTACGACAGCACACGGGCATACCCCGAGCGCTTGCAAGATGATGTAGAAGGGGCAACCTACCCCCGAAAAAGTGAAGAGGGCGAATATCGAGCTCAATTGTGCGAGGGTACGTTGGGGAGCCTCACCTGCACTCTACCGCAGGATCTTCGGAAGGCTCGGTGCTGTGCGGCACTGCTCTCGATCACTGCACAACAAAGCACGGTATTACCGGTACCGGTATGCAGTATGACTGGCTACCGCCAAAATAATTAGCTCGCAGTACAGTACTCGTACGGTACGGTAATCCCGCCTTCAGACCCTCAATTGGCAGCGGCGCAGAGCAGTACTCGAGTACGAGTAAGAGAACCCGCCCTACCTGTCCACCAGTCACAGAAGACGACACACCATCCAGCCAGAGAGGCATCAAACCAATCACCGGTACAGTGCCACCCGCTATCACAGACTCTGGTGTTCGATATCCAGCATCTCAAGTGAAATGACGTATCAATTCCACCCCTTCCTCCCCCAGCACTCGAGAGCAGACGACCGTAGAGTAGACCAAGGGCAATCTCACCCGCCGCTCCTGAGCAGCCCCACAACACACCGGCACTTCACTATCCCAATCGCCCACCCACCCGTTCCTCCCAGAGTCGATGGATGCAGCAAACTGCACACTTCACTCGCTCGCCTAACTTTTGTTTCTTTCTTTTTTCCCTCCCCACAGCTCGCCACCCGGGAAAGCGAACCTTATGATGGTATTTCCTTTTTTTTTTTCATTCCTTCCTTCTTTTTGTAAGAGTAGCACTGGTAGAACTTCCATATTTGGTGGTTGAACGGGAGAGGGGAGAGGGGAGAGGGTGGTCTTTCTTTTCTTTCCTCCCGCATTTCGCTCTCCAGTACAGTACCCGTGATGCTCGTGCCGCAGTGGAGATACATCGGGGGAAAGAGGTTCGGAGTACAAGTACTTGTATGGCACAGGGGTAGCTATGTAGCCGTGCCTGCCTCCAAGCCCTGTTCGGCTCTGGCCTTGGCACCCGGCTTGCGAAAGGGGTGGGTGAATGGGGAGGAGAATTGTACTCGAGCGCCGATATGGTATGGTGTTGTGGTAACTTTGACATAGCAACCAACTTACCGCATGATTGTGTATGCATCCGAGTACTGTACTCGTATCGATTCGAATACAGTGCTCGTACGGCGTGGCGATTTGTGGGGTTTGGGCGCAGCTTGGTTTTACTGTGCGAGTACGGCACTTGGTTAGTCTATGTTGGAATAACGCCGTAGCTTGGCATCACAAGTTTCCGGTAGTATTATACAGTAGTAGGGTAGAGTAAATCCGTGCGGAAGCCCAAGGTACCGAGTACCGTACCCAGGTCGTACTCAATATCAGCTACTAAAGTTATTCCTCAGCTCCCTCTCCCCCTACGAGCACGTAATGTGCAGCGCAATTGCCTACCGGTATATGACCAAAGAACAAGAGAAAAGCCAGCGCACTCCTGCCGCAGTAACTCTACTCTTGGGGAATATCCCACACATGCGGGGGGGGTGCTCTCACAAGGAAGTGCAGGGCACCCTTCCAAGGCCTGAACGCTGTAAGGTGCGGCACTGAGCACAAGTACGGGTACAGTGGACCACGGTGCCATACTATACTAGCCGTGGTGGTCAACAGGAAACAGGGTGGAAGCCTTCCAATCCTCCACCGTTTCTCCCCACTTCCCTGTGCTAGGCGCCGAGGGTGATGGAGGGGAGCGGGCACAATACCGAAAAGGCTGCGAACCGCTTCCCTCGTCTCCCGATTGTCACTTGGGGGAGTTGGTGCCCGATTGCGTGAAAATGGTGCATCTGAGTGCCGATTTATGATACCGCTGTGCGCGGTATCGTTGGGGGGGAGGGGTGATGATGATGGATGGATCATACAAGTACAGTACAGTGCCGTGCAGGTATCGCAGAGGAACGAGGGTACCGTAAATCTACTCCTCCTACCCTATCTCCCCCCACCGGTATGAATTAATAATCCACTGGTATTAAGACGGCGGAACTACCACCATTCCTATTATCTTCATTCTCGTTTATTTTTTGAGGAATAAATACCCGGCTCGCCAATTCGTTCCAATACCGGATTGCCTCCAGATTATTCGTGCAGTGCTGCAGTAGATTGATTGCCGATAAATTCATGGCTGATCCTTTATTCGCGTGAGGAGGTACAGCAAGATGATATGCAGCACCATATGTAGGATATCGTATCGTACCTTTACTGTACATGAACTATTGTCTGGAGGAGCATGTTGTGTATGCAGGTCCTGCTCCCTACTTTTCTATTAATTTGGTGAAGGGGGAAAAAAAGACCCGAATCAGCGATCTCACCCGCACACACTCAACCAAAACCACCTCGCCCGCCTTCGACGCTCGAGTACCGGTATGGCATGTTCTGCTACTTGTACAAGCGCTGCCGCCGTGCAACTCCGGCTGGATCTGAATCTTGGATTGGACTCCTGCTTTTTTTTCCCCCTCTTCTGTTGGGAAGGTGGAAGATTTCGAGGGGATATCACTTTTTCTTCCCTCACTCACCACACAAGTAGGTACAAGTACAGCGCTGTGCCTGTACCACCCACGTCCGCGGATCCAATGTCTTGATCCGTGGTAACAGAAATTCCTTTAATTCCTTTTTCCTTTCTTTCTGACATCTTTCTCGTGATCTCCCTCCTCCCCGCTTTCCTTTCTTTTTCCTTATCCCTTCTTTTTTATATATATTTCCTTTTTACAGCGTCCCTCGTCCTCATCCGGTTGCTTCTTCCAGTCACTCGAGCAGTTTCGACTCCACATATCATATCTACTCGTACCGTCTCATATCACATCATATCTCGGGTGTCGGAATGCAAAGGGTCGGTAGGAGACTACGGAGTAACGGAGCGGGTGATGATTTGCCTGGCGTCAACGAGACGGAAGGTTAAGGTTTTTCTTTCCTTTTTCTTTTTTCTTTTTTTCTTTTGTCTGTTCGTTCGTTTCTTCCCTTCCATACCGAAAGAGGTTACCGAATGGAATTTGGGGCCGAAGCCTCGGAATGAAATACCGGTATCGATCTTATGAAAGCTTTATGGTAGGCGTGATACTTGTACGAGTAGCATGAGGAAGGCATGCCTATCTCCATGGATTAGATGGCTAGCGATACCGGTATGCTACGAAACTTGCACAAAGGAAATGTTATGCATGGTGTGATAGCCCAATTTTTGGCGGATCCCTCTGATACCTCTCTCTCACCCTTCCCCCCTTCTGGCCCAGGGCAATCTTCCGGTCGTGACGAGAATTTTGCCATGGCTTTTTTTCCCCTGATGGAGAGAATCCTCGGGCACGAGATAAACAGATAGGTGATAGCCTACGCACGGGGCGCCAGGTCCCATTTTGTGAGTGCAGTGCAAGTACCGGTACTCGACAAAGTGATTTACGGAGAGGCAGTGGAGCGGGATGTCTCGTCGATCAGGGTGGAGAAGAAGACCGGTATGGGATGGAAGGATTCTGATGACTCGCTGGCCTCGTCCCTGGCAGTTTTTTTTCCTTCTTCCCCCCTGGCATGGGAGAAAAAGGAAGCATGGTCAAGAAGTAACGAGGAAAAAAAAAAAGCAAAAGCACAGTTTGGTGGTGGAATTCATCGTCCGCGGCATCTCAACGGCGCTCGCCTGCTGAGAACCCCTTGAACGTCAACCTCCTGTGCAATCCAAAATGTAATATGCGTATAGTTGTGGAATTCTCGTACAATAGATATGTATCATGGCATACTTCTGTCCTAACAGCTGATTGGATGCTCCCGGAGATACCCTCGATTAGCCTTTTAAATGGAGTGGCTGGTATCACCTTTCACCGCCAAATAAGAGAGCTTTTCTCCCTTATAGAGTCTCTACCTTCTTTGCCGATCCAGCAATTGCAGCCAAAGGAAAGCAGTGTTTGTAGTAAAGCATAGTGAGATATTATGTATTCAAGCAGGTCTGCCGGTAATGGAACCGAAAATCTTGTGCTTGTCAATACTGTGGCCAATTCCCCAAAACCCCTACATTTTTAATAAAATCTCCCCCCAGTATGCTATATGAATAAGACTAACGGGATATATGTATGGTAGTCTACCTGTGGTATTATCTCGCGTCAATCCAAAGATATATGTATACTTGTACCAGTATCTACTAGTACTCTATCGCTATCTCCCATGTTATAATACTATGGTTGTTAATTACTCGTTTTTGTGATATTTTTCATCCCTACTCCTTCCCTGAATATAGGTTAGCAAGCTGCCAGTAAGTTTCCAAACATCAATGTACTCGAGTACTTGTAAGTCTCATGCTCCACTGTTATCAGAACTTTCTCCTGATAATCTTTACCAAACGATTAGGGACAAATTTCGGGGCAGTTTCTTCCCCAGTATCACCTTATGCTCGTGGAACGCGGTAACGAGATGACAAGAATCGCACGCTCCTAGCTTTCCGTCATCACCTATCCTCCGAGAGCAAGAACTCACCCTATTGTCTGTTTCTAACACCCAGCAAAACTCAGCATTCAAGTTGCACAGCCCGGATATCTATGGACCCGGCACAAACTCTCAACAAGCTCATCCCTACCTCCATCATTCATAGCCCTATAGCGTGCAGATACATGATAGGCCATTCCTTTCTTTTTATCTCTCCCTCTCTCTCTCCCCACGAGTATATATCGACGGGCGCTGGGAGGAGGGGGGTGAATATGCCGTATGAAGGAGACATCACCGAGGTTGCCGCGGTCGAGGTGTCCCGTTTGCAAGAGTGACCATCACCTCTGGCCAAGAATCGTGGAAGAATCACCATGGCGGTGCCCGCCTTTCGCTATCCATCCGATCCCACAGCTTTGGGGCAGCCGTTCCATCTCTCTTACTCTGTTGATTCTCTTTCCCCTTCCACCCTATTTCCTCTTCCTCGCCATGATATCAATATGGTGGGATTAACTTACTCAGTAGGGAGAGTGGTGAGACGGTTACTGCGCACCGCGCCGGTTACACTTTATCTTGTGCTATGATACCTGCAGGTAGTTTAGCTGGACCTTCAAATCCGCATGCTGCGAGCAGAATGCCTTAAGTAAAAGGTCCTTCCCAAGCTGCCGTTGATTACTTATCCGATCATTTTCCCCTGCCCTCCTCCCTTCCTCCGTCCCTTCTGCGAACGTGAGAATGTTACCGTGAGAGGGAGGTGAGACCTGCACTCAATCCTCTCCCCTTGATCCCATACGCTATTTTCCCCTTCATTGCAAGGGAGAGACAGGCTACCGTACTGTACTCGAGTACAGTACCTGAATGTACTATACTGCACAGTGTTCATACATCACAACCTGCAGGCAACTCTTTTTTTACTTTTCTTTTTCCTTCCCTTCTTTCCTTCCTTCTTTCTTTTTCGGAACACCTCCCAGCTTTTCGTCCCCTTCCAAGCCTTTTTCCTCTTGACAGGGCTCTCTATATCTGGCATCCTATTCCCCCCCTGTCCCCCTCCTTCTCACTCCTCTCCTGTTCTTGGAATCTGTGGAACGGATCGATAATTCCCACCATTGTCGTCTTGCCGTCGTCGCCGTTGTCTTCGTCTTTGACTCTCGTGTTAAGGTAGCTTTCCCTCTCCCTTCCTCCCCTTCCTCCCTCCTCCTCCTCCCCTCAAGTCTACATTCTTCTTCCCGCACCTCCCCTACTTCTATCCCCTGCCTTCCCCCAAACCTCTCTCTTCTCTCCAACCGAAGCCCATTCAGCCTCTTCTCCGCCCCGCCCCGCCCCAGCTTCCTATCTTTCCGCCGTTCTCACCCACTCCTCTGTCCTCGATATAGACCATAACTAATTCTTAGCAAGGAAACGCCTTGTACCCGGTCGCCAATAAATCTACACAAGGGGCGCAAGAAAGGAAAAGAGAAGGAACGAAAGAGTCGATATTTTCCGAGTCCCGCCACACGGGATACTGACCCCACAAGTTCAACGTCGCTCCCTCGTTCAACTCAACTCACCTTGCACACCACTACCGCTATTCATACACCCACACCACACACCCCTCTCGCTACAACTTCCTCCAAGACATTTCTATTCCGTACAAAGAAGCGCTCGAGAAGCCCACCCAACAAAACCCAAGCGGTTCCCGACTTCTTTTTTTCCCACCCATTCCCCGCGACCTTCTCCCGTCCTCCGTCTTCGAGAAAATATCTGCACCACAATTTCAAGATATTTCGAGCGAAATGGAAGGCTGGCTCCAGGTGCCGCCAGAGCGCAATCTGATGGGTCGTGCCCTATGGAAGGTATGTGATCTCTAAACCTACAACAAATCCTTACCGCCTACACTTCATCCGTGCATGCGCACACGCAGGATTATTATCAACCGATTATACTTTTTTTTCCCTTTTTTTTCCCCTTCTTTTCCAAAACCCCAAGCAGAATCACCTTCTCCCACCCATCATACCTCCCGTATCTAATGTCTCGGAGCCCCCGAACCAAAACCCGAACCCCAAATACAAGATGCTGACCGCGTCTTGGTGCGACGACAGGTCAGGTACGTGAGATTCGGACCCAGTCCTTCCACCGCCCCGACAAAACCTACTTCATCTCCAACCCGGCCAGCCATAGCTGCGGGTGCGGGCGCGATTGTGTGCTTGGGTGCGCCAGCGCTTGCCGTTGGCGGTAGCAATAGTAGCGGCGCGGGGGGGAAAGGGACGCACAGCTCGGAGCGGAAGTCGCACTTTGCGGGGTCGAATGTAGCTGCTGCTGGTGGTGGTGGTGGTGGTGGTGGTGGTGAAGAGTCGGGCCAGTTGCCGATTTACCTATCAATATACAAGCAAAAGGTGAATCCACATGATCCATTCCCGGGATCTCCCGCCTAGGGACGTGTTGCTGATTTGCGACTTGGTAATGATCAGAACGATGCAGAGCCTGCAGTGCGATACCCGTAAGTTTTATTATTCCCCACTTTTTCATTGTATTGGTACGATTTCTATTTTTGTTTCCCCCTCTCACATTAATATTAATATCCTTCGTTTTCGCTCCAGGTTATCCTCAATCGCGTCCTGCTATATCGGCGACGTGGCCGGGCGACACAAGAAAAAGTCTGTAGTCCTACCCACATTGGTAATCAACCTTCGCGCCGAACCATCTCTGTCATCATCCCGCTCCTTTCGTCGGCGAAGTCATGACCTGCCGCTAAAAGAGAGCGCAAAGAGGGAGTTTCCGGGAAAGGAAACGCTGCTCTTCAGACCGGGGTCGGAGACCGATTCGCTGGAAAGATGGACGCGGGAAATTCAGTCCCATCTGATACCTAGTTCATCACACTCCAATGCAACGGTAAACACCCTGGAATCCGCGTTCCGGGAGAAATTCAGCGATCCCGATGACGTGCCTGGCCCATCGTCATCGCTGTTCATCGTTAATGGCGAGCCGACCACAGCGCTGCTTAGCCCCTCGCTGCGCTCAATGGCTAGCAACCTGTCAAGCATAGACTCGGAAGATAACGGCAGTCTGCTGAGTAGCCCAGCGTCGGAAATGAACTCGCCAAAGGACCCAGACAGAGTGGACCGCCGGCCGAGCCTGCACATCGCGACTAAGCTCCGAAACTACGTAGGCCCAGCATCGCCCGCGTCACCCGATATGGCCAGCGCCAACATTTACCGTAGTATGCACGCAGCATCCCTAAACCCCACCCGCCCCACCTCTCCCACCACCGATCCGGCGCCCGCCCGCCGAGAGACCATCCTAGACCGGTTCTTCTCGACAGCCCCGTCCAGCCCATCAACAACTTCGGCCCCGGTTCCCATGAACTCAATAGCCCGCTTCGAGGCGCTAATCAAAGACATGGAATCCGGCGAGCTCCACGCCCCCGACGAATCACTAAGCATAAGAAACCACCCTCGCCGAATCCCGAGCCCGACCCAGCGCGCACTGGAATATGTCTCAACCGGCTACCTGGACGAATCCTCCCCTTCCCCTACCACCCCTTCATTTTCATCATCTAACAGCACCATGGATCCCGTCGACACCGCCCGCCTTTCCCCGGACGACCCCCGGCTCCCTTCCCCCCTGACCGAATCCCTCGGGCTGACACTCTCGCGCCAGCCCTCGGAAGCCTCGCTGGGCACGACAACTAGTGTTGCAAACTCGCAGGGAGAGACTCAGTCGCAGTCGCTCAGCGTGTCGAATAGCAAGCGCCACTCACTCGCCGACTTTTCCGTGATGCGCATCGCCACACCCCCTGTTTTTCAGCTCGCAGCGTCGAGGAGGGGGTCGTATGCCGATATTCCGAAGACATCGGAGTCGTACGATGATGGGCCGGCGCCGCTTGCCACCCAGAATTTCCCGCCGCATCCCAGGGTTGCCAGGGCGCTATTTGGAGGGTTCTCGTTTTGAGTGCTAGGGGTTTGGAGTGGGCTTTTTTCCTTCAGTATATTGGTATGGGGTATGGAGAAAAGAGGAGGAGTGGTAAGGTGAGGTGTTTTTTTTTTCCTTTTTTTCTGTTTCGGCGTTGAATTTTGTTTTTGTCAATTCATTGAGCGGGGTCACGTCATGTTTTATTCTATCTGATGGAGATGAGATGACGGCTCTTTTCCTATCAGATTGAGAGGCAGGGGAAGTGCTGTTGGACCATCACGGTGACTTACTGCTGGTCTGGTTAGTCACATCCCTCTCTCTCTCTCTCGTTTTTTTCTTTTTTCACTACCATCTCTTCTCTTCCTTTGAAGCATAGCCCATATTCTTGTACAGCATATTTTTTTTCTTGTTTTCCTTTTTTCCTTTTTTCTCTTCCCCCTGTCCTGCTCGGCGAGCGAGTGATAGTAGAAGATTGGACGACTCGGGGCCGAGATGGAGAGGGTACTTGGTGGTCTGGTGGCAAAGCGTAGCATAGCAGGGGAAGAAAGGCAACACGCAGGCGAACAAGCAAGCAATGTAGAATTAGACTAACTAATGCCGTCATGGATAGTTCACACTTCCGTCTCTCGGTTAATACTCAAACGCTACAAAGCACAGTAGGCCTATCAATCCCAAACCTTAGTGCCGCCCCAGCCGTAAATCCTTCCGAGGTGGAACCTCCACCCGAGAGAGGCAACTATCACACCTTCCCTCTCGCAGCTACTGGCAGTAGGATTGGCCCGCCCCACACCTTTCACCTGCTTTACTCCTTCACGATGGACCTGTCCGGCGGCTAGGCCCGTGCTCAATGCCAGGTTTCGCCCTATGCTACAGCGTTGGGGATGGGGTGGAATATTCTGGACCGCGGATAACTTACCCGTTATTCGAGGGGGAGGAAATCAAGGTCTTGGGGGGGACGGATCTACCCATCCCCACTCATTACATCTATGATATGATACCCATTTATCATACCCATCCTCTCACCCCCACACCTACCTAGCCCCACTCCGTCCCTCCCCAATCCGGATCCCGCAGGGACGGTATGATATATAGGATGTATGATGGCTCGCACTCACCGCGCGTCTCCCCCACTCGATGGGGCACCTTACGATACCAATCCGCGATAAACTCCAGCAAAACTGGTCCGAAGTGTAACCTTCGTGATGGAAGTACAAATATTGTACATTTTCTACCGTCCGATACCAAGCTACTTGACACTGAGGTGTGCCGTGACGTACAGGACTACCTGGTCTAGCCTGGCCGGGTTGGGTCGTCACAGGTGTGATATAAAGCGGTGGGTCTCTACCTACACACTCTCTTTCTGTACTGTACAGCTCTGCCTTACTATTGTTTGTCCGGTCTGCCCTACTCTCGACATGCGACGCTCGTTAGCGTACATCTGCGATCGGTATCGTGGTTTGGAGTGCCCGATAGTGTAGTGCGTTTACTTTTTTTTTTTTTTTTTTTTGACCAGATTTGGTCGCTTGCTTGCTTGCCTGCCTGCCTGCCTGCCATATGAATACTACGAGTGTCAATAATGAGCCCTATTTTTCCCGGCCAACCGGCCCCTGACTTGGAGTGCCCGGTTAGGCCATCCGGGCCTTGGTATCCTGGAGAGGTTCTCCTTGAGATGAGACAAGTTACCGCAACTCCGGATGGGATGGGGCAGTTAGTAATTAGATCAAAAAGTAGAATGCAGGTATGCACGACACACGCCCATCAAAAACTTGAACCCTTATAAAAGTATCATCATACAATACCACCCGTACCGTATCCCCCCCTACACACCACACCACACCCACCTACCACATTCCCAACCCCTCATACAATACAAAAAAAAACACGATCGAGTGATACCTCATGACGCCCCCAATCTCATCCACCACCACCACAGTAATAAAAGCAAGATGAGTGAGAGTGAGAATGGGAAGAAGTGGGGTGGGGTGGGGTGGGGTGGGGTGGGGTGGAGGGAAGGCTCCCTACCATACACAACAAACCCCACAAAATAACGGTACCGGTAACTCACGCGCATGGCGGCGCGTATGCGAGTAAGTATGTCGTGCCTTGCTCTGCTTTTGCTTTGCTTACTGTGTCACTCGCTCACTCACTCACTCACTCACTCACTCACTCACTGGCTAGCTGGCTGGCTGGCTGGCTGGTTAGCAGTACGAGGGGAGGATCGGAGGTGGGGGCTTGTAACTCGCACCAGATACAAGCACAGTATGGATTGGTTGGTTGGTTTGTTGGTTGGCCGGGTTCGCCGGGTGCCGGGAAGGCTTTTGCACGTGGGTGGTGGTGGTGCGGGGGTTGTCATCGATTGTGGGATAATAAATATTGTGGTTTACGGTGGTGTACGGTACTCGAGTGCGTAGTGTTCGTGTGGTGGGGGCGGGGTTTTGGTGATGTTGTGGGGAAGTATCTGACTGACGGACTGACTGACTGACTAACTGCCGGTTCGTTATTTACCTGGGGGGGTTTTTTCTTTCTTTCTTTCTTTCTTTCTTTCCTCGTTCATGTGCCGGTATGGTTTAGGGTGGTGATGGTAGGGTTGGTGGGGGTGGGAGGGGGGGGGGGGGAGGACGGAGGGATGGAAGAACAGTGTGCGTGGGATTGTTTTTCTTTTCTTTTCTTTCTTTTCTTTTTTTTGTCTTTGTTTCATCTAGATTGTCTGGTGTGCGGTAGATGGGGATGGGGATGGGGAAAGCTGTGTGGGCGTGGCGTGAGTGTCGGGGATGTAATGAGGCGTAGTAGGTAGGCAGTGTGCGGTATTTGGGGTAAAATGATTGTTAGATGTTTGCCGCAGTGAACTTGAAGTGCAGTGTACAGTACTGGATTGGACTGAACTATTATCATACTTGTACCATGATACAATACCGTTCCTTCCTAACCCCCCCCCCTTCAATCTCCTTCGTCACCAGGACGTATGCAATAGCAGCACAGTACTCTACTGTATGATAGCAATCTATCTCCCTCCATCCTAACCCCAAATCGTGGAAGATAAAATAAAAATACCAATAAAACTCACCCCATGAAATATAACCCAAACCCAAACTCCTCCTTTCCTCCCAATAAAATAAAAGGATAAATAGTAAAGAGCTATACCGCAAACCTGTACCTAATCAAGAACCATAGCCAGAACTACCCCTACACACACCCCACCCTTCCCTCCTCTTCAAAACCCTTCCCCATCGGGCCAGCATATCCCAACCCCCCCTCCCCAAGTAAAAATAAAAAAAACCCTCCCCACCTCATACCTACTACCACCACCACCGCTCCCTCTCCCTATTCCTCCTCCTTCTCTCTCGCTCCTCGCATCCAAGCCTCAAATGCCACTCCACTGTGAATCCAAACACGTCCGGAACATTCTCGTCAGCCCCCAGCTCCCTCAGCAGTCCAAACATCCCCTTATCCCTCCTCTCCAGCGCCATATGCAGCGGCGTGAACTCTTGACTCCCCTGCTGCTTGCAATCGATGTTCGCACCCGCTCCAACGAGCATGCGCACTAGGTCCTGGCTGCCCGTGCTCACTGCCATGTGCAGCGGGGTGCAGCCGTCCCAGGCTTGCTCGTCGACGTGGGATTTGCCGAGGGGGTGGGAGAGGAGTTGGTGGAGGAGGCGGGGTGATTGGTGCTTTATGGATAGGTGGAGGGGAGTATGGCCTGTCTTGGGATCCTGGAGGAGGATGGGGGTGCCATATGGGTCCGGGAGGAGGAGGAGGAGCTCTAGGTGTTCCTTCTCCCGTTCTTGGTCCAGGCATAGGTTTGGGGATTGGCCTCCTGGCGGGGGTGGCGGTGATGGGGACTGGGTTTGGGATGATGGGGTGGGCGATGGGGGTGGGGCGGATAGGGAAGGGATCAAATGCCTATCCATGAAAATGCTAAAATGTCGGGATGCGAGTATGGCTCGGAGCAGTTGGCGCTGAGAGTACATTGCTGACCAGGTCAGTGCGAGGAGTAAATGCTTTTCGCTGTTCGCTGCGTATCTGTACGTCTGGCTGCTAAGCACGGCGGTTAGGAGGGGGTGTGTGCGGATAAGCGAGTTGAGGTCACCCAGTGAGAGGTCTTGCGCGACCATTAGCAGGAGTTCGTTCGGTAGGTGAAGGAGTCCCATTCTGTCTATTCTTCTCTTTTCTTTTTTTCCTTTCTTATCTTTTACCCTCTTCCTCTTTTTCCTTTCCCCTGATGAATGGATCGAGGGACGAACGAACGAACGGATGAACGAACGAATGGATGGATGAATGAATGGATGGATTGACGAATTGATGGATGTCGTGATGATTGATGGAGTTGAGGTCCAAAGTCAAAGAAGGAATGGAATGGAATGTAAAGGGGAGGAGGATGCTTGAGGGGATAGGTTTGTTTTTGTTATTTATGCCTGATACACTCAAGCCTAATCGGAACCTGAGCAGGTTGCCTGAAAAAGACCCTATTCCCTTTCCCTTTTCCCTCTACCTTTTTTTTTTTTTTTTCCTTTTCTTTTCTTTTTTCCCCTCTTCCCTTTTTCTTTTTTGTGGTGTGTAATGTGCGAGAGCGGGCGGGTGGTACTGTATGTGTGCCGGGATATGGGATTATCGTTCGACGATCCCGATAGGAAGGAAAGAGGTGAGAGAGGAAAGTAGGTAAGGGAATGAGGGAAGAAGAGAAGAGGGGGGGGGGGAGCAGGGCAGGCATTCGGACTCTTCTATCCTACCCTATTCTTCCCTTCCTACCGTATCACAGGCCGTCGTGCTTTACCTATAGGGTAGAGCTCTGCATTATAAGTCAAAGTGAAGTGATCCATGCGAGGCCGTGGAGCTGTCCATGTACTCCAGCTAAATGGCTGAGTCAGAGCCCAGTTAACGGGTCTCCCAGCTGAGCCTAAAATGGCTCTATTGACTGATCGATAAAGTGAGGAGGAGGAGGAGGAGGAGGAGGAGGAGTAGGAGGAGTTCGGGATCGTGTGTGGATGGGTGGGCATCCAGAATATATAATATTATATTACATGTCCGCCCCGGACGGACCCGCCTTACTCGACCGACGAATGGTAATCGAGTATAGTGAATGGAAAAAACGATTTAAAGAATACCATATCGAAGCCAAACCACCATATCCCCCCCCCCTACATCCAAGCATGATACAGTCAGTAAGTAGTAGGGGTGCGGGTATACAAGTACAAGTACAAGTACAAGTACCACCGCCTTACCTACCTACCGCACCCGCCTGGATCTACCCATCCATCATCCTCCCATAAATCCTGCCCCACCAACCCCGTCCCTGAAAATCTCCCCTCCCCAGGAACCAAGAAACAAACCCCAGCGCCAACAAATAAATAGGTCCCCCCCCCCAGACCATTTTATTACTGTACAGCACTTGCCGGCACGGCACCTGTTGCTGTAACCCCCCTCCCCTTCTAAGCGCTCGATAACAAGCCTTAATCATCCATCCCCCCCTCACAGACTCTCACTCGATAAACTCACACCTCGCCGTTTCGCCAAGAAAGTTGCACTATACCCTATCCGTAAGTTTCCCGCTTCCGTTTCCCGCCCGCGGGTTGCAAGTTGTTGCACGCGCCACCAACTCGGAACCGGACCGCAGGGTGACTGGTCAGGCCTGAGGAGGAAGATACAAGGACTTCATGTCAGTTTGTTCCTTTTTTTATATTTTTATATTTATTTTTTCCTGCTTACCTTGTCGGAGAATAATTGTCGCGAGAAGCGGAATTGGCGAAAGGGGGTGGGGGAGGGAGGAGGTTGACGATCGAGGAAGGTGGCAAGTTCCCGGCAAGAAGGGGAAAATAAGGAGTGGCCCATGCACTCCCCTGTACCCGTACGGCACTCGTACTGTATCGAGAAGGATGGAGGGAAGGGAGGGCTTACCCCGGAGCGGTACGGCTACTGTAACAGAGATTGGTTGGATTGGATGGCTGGATGGGCAATTGTGAAGGGTGTCACCTGGTGTGTTGGTCGGGGTGTCTGGGGGGTTTCAGAGTACTGTACCCGACTCCCCCGGAGCCGAGGTTGTGGGCGTGCGCCGCAGAGCCTCTGTAGATCGGTTTGGTAGATACGATTAAATTTACGATACCCGTACGGGGGGTATCGTGCCGGGGAAAGTATATACATACTATCACTACCCCAACTTTGCTACGGAACCAGACCAAACTCTTGGATCGCACACGCTGCGAACCCACTATAAGTACCGGTACCTCATAATGGTCATAAAGGCTTGTATCTTCGACATCGGCGGAGTCTGCGTAAGCCCCCTCCCCTTCTCCTTTCCCCTCTCTTCCCAGCCCACGAATACCGACAAAACCTCAGATCGTCTCCCCCCTCCACGCCATCGGCGCCTACGAGACCGAAAACTCCATTCCAAGCGGCTACGTCTCCCACGCCATCGTCGCCTCCTCCCCATCGGGCTCCTGGGACAAACTCGAGCGGGGCGAGATCCCGATGGACAGCGCCTTCTACACCGGCTTCACCTCCGACCTAACGAACCCCGAGACCTGGAGCTCGTTCCTCCGCTCCCGCAACCTCCCCGAAGCGACAGCAACACCACCGCCGCGCATAGACGGCGAAGTCCTCTTCTGGCAGATGATGACCGAGTCCCGCGTCCCCAATCCGCCCGTCATCGCCGCGATACGCAGGCTGCGTGCGACGGGACGGTACAAGCTCGCAGCGCTCACGAACGACTACCGCTTCCCGCGTGACCACCCGTTCGCGGATAATTCCGGGTTGAGGGGGCTGTTCGACGTGTTCGTCTCGAGCAGTGAGTGCGGGATGAGGAAACCCGAGAGGGGGATTTACCGGCTCGTGCTTGAGCGGCTTGGTGTCGCTCCGGGGGAGGCGGTGTTTCTGGACGACCTGGGGCTGAATTTGAAGGTTGCGAGGGAGCTGGGGATCATCACGATTCGCGTGCCGCTCGAGGAGTCATGGAGGGCTGTTAGGGAACTGGAAGGGGTGCTCGGTGAAAGGTTGCTTGATGAGGGGGAAGGGGCGGGCGGGGAGAAGGCGAAATTGTAAAACCCTCCGGTAGTGATGGATTGATATCCGTATTGCGCCTAAGCGGCCCCTTGTAGATTTCCAAGTGTGATATGGTGGAAAGAGCGTTCGTGACTCAACTTACCACCCGGTTCACTGCCAGTCACTCGGGGGCTACCATGGGTTATCGTAAAAAACAACTACACAAACGCTCAGACCCCCCCCCTCCCGGGCGCTCCAGATGCGGTATCACCACATCCTTGCGCCCAAAGCCAAAGATAACATTACCGTGTTCCTACAAGTATCATATCAACTCCCCTTCACAACATCTACTTACTAGTAGATCGTATCCGTATTCATATACTAGTACTGGTGCCCCCTCCCCCCCTTCCCTGATCGTAATCTTACGGCGCCAGTCTGATCTTCGGTATCGCCGAGACCTGCCTTACCGTCCCGTACCGGTAGGCACCGCTCGTCAAACGATCCCCCTAATTAGCTACCCGTGCGGCTTTGATTGCGAAAAGTCGCAAACCGCACCCCGCCGCCACAAGACAGCCAGCAGATCCAATCTCCATCTTCCCTCGGCTACCCAAAACAAAAATCACGGATATTCCAGACAAAACATTCACACACACACACACACACGCATAGGCATTAGATCTGTATCTACTTGATCGTTTCATGATCGCCCCGCCCCGTTTCCACCTTTATGGGAATCTGAACCAACAAACAAAACAAACCCAAAACTAACCCCCCCCCCCCCCCACGGCATCTCCATTTATCCATCCATTTATCCATCAACATAATATTATCTATCCGCCAGTCGGCCCGTCCATCACCCAATCGTTTCCCAAAACCAACAAAGGCAACAGCCATACCTAATTTTTTGTTTTAAAAGAAATCTGTTCAAGGGAGGACGGGAAAAGAAAGAGAATAAATTAAGCTAATGAGAAATCCATCACTCTCCGGAAGGAAAAGAAAAAAACGAAAGAGCGCAACACTTATTCCTCCTTGGCACCACCCCGACCAGACCTCTCGGCCTCATCGATGCTCTTCTTGTCAGACACGACGTCACCACCTTGCATTCCCTGCATCATCCCTCCAGCCTTCCATGGCCTCTTGAGGTCCCCAATGGCGGGCTTTCCAAGGACGTGGATCTGAACGAGCTTTGATTCGAAGGCGGTTTTGAGCGGGATGATGCCTGTTTGCTGTCTGTTAGAATCACCTCCAAAAAGTTGGAAATGGGCGAGGGAGGGCAATTACTCTGGATAAGCAACGGGTTAGTGTACTTCATGTAGAAATGCATGACACCCATCATTCCAACGCCCATCAAAACGCTCTTGAAAGCTGCCTTGAGCTGATCGCGGTCGTAGGCCGCGATGGTAGTCGTCACGAGTTTAGGTTGGTCGCCGGAGAGTGGTGCAGCGGGCTCAAGGTACTTCATCGTTGTGTTGTCTATCTCATTCATTCCCCAAGTCAGCAATGTAGTCCCTCCCCAACCCAGATTGATATCGGAACCCTTCCTCCCCTATTCTACTCTCCTTGCTTACCATTCTTCTTATCGATCTGGCCCCTGACGTACATGTACAGCGACAAGATGATAACGTTGGAAAGAACGTACATCGCCCTCACGCCGTTCAGGACATTCGGATCGTCGAAGGGGACCTTCTTCGCGACTTGCATCATACCCAGAATGATGACGATATTGGCACTGTTTCACGTCGTCCGTTAGCCATCTCCCAACCGCCCTATCGAGTTTTAGAGTAAAAAAAAATTTAAAAAAAAGGTGTACTACACTTGGGCATTCATCTTTGCTGTTTGTAAAAACTTCTCTACTCCGGAAAAAAAGAAAATCCCTTAGCGAGTGTTGGAGGAAGGAAGGAAGGAAGGAAGCAGAAACCGATGGTGACCAAGGTTAATCCCCGGCAGAGAAGGAGAAGAAGGGAATGTGTGAGATGTCAGTTGGATGAGCTGGGTAGATGGATGCGCGATACCGGCGATGAGGGAGTCGAAATTATCTTTGTCTCGCTTACTGAAGTTGACTTAAAAGGGCGAATGGAAAAGGACACGTTTGTGCGTGGCGGTGTGTGGCGAGTAGGGTTACCCGGGGTTGGTGGCGGTGGTGGCGGCAGATCCACCCATCTGGATGATCTGGCCAGTATCATACAGTAGATGGATGGGGTTTCTCCACCTTGGCTATCAGCGATCACATAGGGGCGGGTATGGTGAGCTTGAAAAGCGCCCTGTTGCGCTTCGAGAGTGTAAACTCAACGGTCCAAATGGGATACAGTACTAAACTGCCGGATAACGAGCGCGATAACGAATAAGACCTAGGAACATTGACCCCGTGTATAGTTAACTTGGCTCCCCCGAGGAACAAGAACAATACCTTCCTAGTGCTATTTGGAGCCCAAGATTACCCCTTCTGAGAAAACATGATGCTACGCCCAACTACTCTCCCGACACACTCGAGCGAGTGATAATTCATGAACATAAAGTACAAGTACCGTATGATACATATCCCAAGTACCAATCGCAATCACTGGTTCAATGCACTGTGTTCACACCCCATGAGCAACAACAGAGATATTCCATAATCCCCCCGTGGTACCTGAATACCAGAAGAAGTATTCCATCCCCCGGCAATCTAAGACCCAACTTACTGTATGCCTGACCCTTCGAGGCGACACCTCACAATCTGTGCAAACCCTTCCAGCTATCACACCCTCGAAAGAGGGATAAACATGTCAACAAAACGGTGACCAATCGTCCACTACGGTATAATACCAGTACTAACACTACGTCAGTAATAAGAAATCGCTTCAAAGAGAAACAATCCAGAACGAAAATCCCCCTCCCCCACTCAAGAAACTTTACGCCATCCAAGGTACAGCGCAGTATTACCATGGCACAGCGGAAATCGTCACAACCTATCGTACAGTACCCACACCATATATATACTCAACATCCCGTGCGAAACACAAACCCAAATACTGTACCCAATCGCAACGAAAAGATCCATGCATTATTTTATTTTTCCTTTTCCTAGGATACTACCGTATGCTACACAACCGTTTGCCACCCCCTCCTCCAAGTACCGTACCGGTACTCGAGTACGATACGAGCGATAATAAATAAATAAATAAATAATATAACCCAGACCCACGATCCCAACAGCACCACACGCTTCACCCAGTACTTGCAGCAATCAGTATCTGTTAAACAAAACACCTCTCTCACCCCCCCCCCCCCTCCTTCCTTCCTCCCCCAAACCAGAAAAAAAAAGCCCTACAATTTCGCAGCATGAAAAAACTTATCAAATCATAATTAGAAACCCCTTTCAACAAAATTTATAGTATGGCACTATAACTGCGACCCCGGAATCGGCCGGGGATCCCCCTATCATGCTTACCTACCCCTCTACGAAAAAAACGCGTGGTAAAAAAAACACCCCCTACCCAGGGGACCGAGCCCAATAGCACCCCGCACACGCACACACACACACACACTAATACTCGAGCATGATACATATACAGTACACAAAAAAGCACACAACACCAGCGTTTAATTATCATCATGATGCTATACGAGTACTTGTACCTTCTCCCCCGCGCACCCCCTTAGAAAAGAGGGAAGAAAGGAAAAAGAAAAAAAAACTTAAAAAACTCACGAACAATCACTCGTCCCAATGACACTCCCACACCACACCTACACTAAAATACCGTATCAGATAGTACAGTACAGTAACCGTACCGCACCGGTAACTCTATGATAATACCTTAAATCCCGTGCGCAGCCAATCCATCCATCCATGCATCCATTTTTTATTTTATTTTTTTTCCCTTTCCCAGCCCTTGCTAGGTCAGCATCCGCTGTAGAACTAACATACAGTACCGTACTGCACGAGTTGCCGGCGCGAGTGCAGCACTGCACTGTACGAGTACTGTACCAGTTGCCTACCTACCGTAGTCCACCCACCACCCACCCACCTACCGTAACAGCACGGCAAATCCCCCACAGATTGCGCCAGCTGTCTCAGATAACAACGCCAATGCTCGAGATAGATAGAGAGATACGGTATGATACTCGTACTGCACCGGTACGGAAACGAGTAAGTTACCGCCCTAGGAGTTTTTTTTTGCACCCGCCCGTATCATACACAGAGTGAAAAGCCACGGCAGCAGCAGCAGCAGCGACGCATGACAAAGTTGAATCCGAGGGAAGAGGGCTACGATTATACTCCGACGATCGCACTCGTACAGCTTTATAGGGCTATTGGCGGTAGGGAGATTATCTAACAGTGAGTATCATAGTATATATCATAAAGTGCGACCAGGACCAGGACCAGGCAAGGCAAGGCGGGGCAGAAATGTGTCAACAAAGATTCGAGTTTTTCGTTTTTGTGGGAGGGAGATATCATAGATGGCGATCCCGTCCATTCCTTAATTCTCACACTTTTCGACTGGAGAAAGGTCGTTCGTTGTGTGCTTCGGGGATTTCCTTCCTCATCCCCGCTTTTTCTTTTTTTTCTTTTTACACGATACGGTACAGTATCACAAGGAATACTTTTTTTTTTTTTTTTTACCCGCCCGTTCACTTTACTGTACTGTACTCGTACTTGTACAGTACTTGGCTTCTGTACCCGTACATTATCGGAGGATCCTCCCCCTCCCTTCCACCTCCGCATCTACGATATGTAACCTTGTGTGGCTAGATATGCAGACACAGTACTCGTACAGTAGACAACTCCTCCCCTTCGTTGATACGGAAAACGTCCCCCCCCCCCCCACCTCACCACGTAAATATGACCAGCGGCTATTCGACTCTGTGAAGACCCGCCCGGAAGCGTCACCGTGCATTCAAACACATGCTGTACTCGAGTACGCACATCGATTAATATTCTTGAAACGGAGGTGAACCCGGTTTTTTTTTGCTATTTTTCCTTCGAAGGAGAGGGGGGTGGTGGTGTAGGCCAGGCTAGATATTGGTTGTCTTCGTCTTGGCATGGTTTGGGGGGTAGAAAGTCCAGGGGAAGGGGAACTCGTACTGTATCATAAATTTTGAACTCTTATCCATTTCATACCGCACATACATACACATAGTACATACACGCACTAACCCTAAGACCTATAATAACGGCACTTGATTCGAAATGCACAATCATGGTCATTCCCTCCCCTTCATTCAACAACGAGGAGGAAGCCTCCGTAGATTACTACTAGCTAGCTATCATATCGCATCGCTGCACAGTCATGACCACCATACAGCACGTAAGCAAGCACGCACACCAGGGACAAAAGGGGGAACTATATATAAAAAAAAGCAAAAGAAATGAAATTTTTTCAAACGAAAAAAAAAAAAAAAAAAGAACACGAGCATAAAAGCTACAACGTCCTCATATGTACACTGTACGTGAACTAAAGCATAGGCAAGCCAAAGCCCGGTGCGAATACAATTCCGGTTGCTCGAGATCGTGTTAGGGCGAGGGGAGAACAAACATAAACATAAACATAAAGGAGCAGCCTCTTCACGGTTCGCGAATGAAGCTTCACTCCCATTCTGACCAACATCAAACAAATAAGTCGAGCAAACAACCATGTCGCTATGTCGGTACCGCACTGTAGACCGGGGGGACTGTACCGTACCAGGAAAACCAGAACACCAAACTCTTTTCAGAAAATGAAGAATAAAAGAAAGGAATAAGGAATAAGAATGGACAGAGAAATGAAGAGGACAATGTACCAGAGCTAGAGGAGGGCATGGTGATATGCGAGTGGAGACAAGTGAAATATGGGTGGGGTGGGCCAAATATAGGAGAAAATGGGAATCGCTAAATCGAAGAATAGATAAACCGCCCAAGAAAGAGAAAAAAGGGGAGATGAAGATATCATAGAAAGAAACGCAAGAACCATTTTGTCTTGCCCAATGCATCCGAGCCAGTCATGCCCCAAGAACCAAACCAACCAAAACCAAACCATCAGGAGGGTAATATAAAGAAAAAGAGAAAAATGGTATTCATCGATAAAACATTATTCGAAGGTAAAAATGACTTCGTCATATCGTACACACATCCTCCCTCGTTCACCGGGCCAGCGAAGACTTATGTGTCAATTGGCTGAGGCTCAGCGTCCGCTGCGGGTTCGGGGAGGCGGATAACGTTTCTCGAAAGCCACGATCACTGTCCGAGTCAGATATCATGCTTTCTCGCTCCTCGGCCGGTGTCTCCCAGATCTCGTTTTCGTCGGCGTCGAGACCCATGAAAACGCTTTCGTCGTCCGAGTCGTCATCGTCCACCATACTACTATCGAAGCCCGTAAACAAATTGCTAACAGGGCTGGCTCGCGGGGGTGTAGGATCTGGCGTGGGAACTTCAGACGAGGTCTTACGACGGATGCTGCTAAAGTCGCCAGGGCGGAGGGACATGGCATCCGCGATTGTAGGGCTCGCCGATGATTGTAGGAGTTGGCGGTGTAGGACAAGAGACATTTGCTCTTGGAGATTAGCGATTTGGGCTTCGAGTTTTCGGCGAGCTCGCTGCTCACGCTTGACCTGCGAGACCAGGCCTGCATATTGCGCCACGCTGACAATTGGGGTTGGTGAGGGAGAGCGGGCTTCTATCAAGTTGTCGCGCATTGGGGTTGGGCCTTTGATGGTTGACGCAGTGTTGCGCTTGCTCTCAGAATTCACACGGAAACCTTCCAGAACTTGCAACGTCTCTTCACGCTCTTGTTCGGTGCGCGGGGAGTATTGTGGTACCCGCTGGTCTGCCGATCGCGGTGGGGGGCAAAGATTCCGTGGGGTGCTGGGCAGCTCGGGACTACCGAGCCTTTCCGATGACCCGGCAGACGAAAGCGAGAAACTGCGCTTTGAGAATTTCCGGTCGTCGTGGGGTGGTCGGAGTAGAACAAGCTCCCGGTTTGTGGGTGCCCCCGTTGAGAAGGCCCGCCGTGGCTGCAGTGGGAATTCAACGTGCTGGGTGATAAAGTTGTGGAGCGTTGCAACCTGTGTTTCTAACTCTTGCACCCTGGTCTCTAGTGACACCGCCTCCGTGATCTTCATACTCCCCCCATAACCATTGAACATCGGACCGAAACCCAGGGGCCCTACAGGGTCCTGGTTGAGACAGGGCGTGCTCACACCAGACCTATCCATGATCGAAGCTGTTCCGTGGTTATTCTGTGCGCCATCGCTCCAGTGCCGTTGAAGGCTTGCCGGCCTGGGAAACAATCCCCCGCCGGGGGTTGCTGTGCCGTTCACCAGGGTGCCATCTGGATTGACGAGACTCCCATTGCTCATACCTCCTTCCTCTTGGGGCATTCCTTTCAATATACCCGACTGACTGCTGGATGGCCTGCCCGACCAAATTGAGTTTCGGGGACGTTCCGGGTCACCTGGTGGGTCGAATATAACACTAGCTACTGTTGCTCGACGGGGTCGTCTATTATCCGGAGGTGGTTGTGGTGGGGCTTTAGTCAGTACTTGACGAGCATGAGAGCGGGGGGCCAAGGCGAATTTAAATCCATTGGTCTTTGGCTGGTTGAGTTGTCCGGATGGTGTGACAGTGGCTCGGGTGGGAGAAGGGGCTGGTTCAATGTAATCGGGATCGAGAAGTGGTTCCTGACAATTACCCGAGCGGTCGGTCAGTCCGGTCAAGCGTCACCAAGATCAATTCCCCGCCGCAAAATCAACACAAACTCACAAAGAAAGCTTCCTGGTCCCTACTCGTTTCACTATTACCGTCCACAGAATCACCATATGCCCTTCGTAAATTAGTGTTGCTCCTCCTCCTCAAGAGGCTGAGCGCCATCTTCAGCTTCTGTCCCCGCTTCTTGCCCCTCGCCGACTGCGTGGTGGCAGAACCCAGCCTCTCCTCCATACTGTCAAATTCGGATTGTCGTGAAGGAGACATTTCTCTGGCATCCACGCCTATCGTGGTCGTCGATCCGTTGCCGTCCTCGTCGTCGCCGCCAGCGCTACTAGACTCTCGCTTGGAAGCCGGTAATGGTGGTGGTCCCCTTCCAAAGCCAACCTCAAAAACTCCGGTCGAGGAGAAATGGTGTCGACTCATTGTCTTTTCTGGGAGAGTGGGCTCTGTGTCGGCCCTGTTCGGTGGCCCTGTCGTTGTTGGCGACACGTTCTCCTCCGTGATAGGCAGTTGGCTGTTGATCGTCAACTCGTTCCGCCGTAAACTGGTGGAGTGCTGCAGCTGCGAACCCTTGTTGTTGCCCTTGAAAAAGTTGAGTGTTGTACTCCGCAACGAAGACATGCGGCGATGCCCCGCCTGCCCCCCCACTGGAACCATCCTATCACTGCTACTACTGCAAACCCCCCCTACCCTCTCTCTCTCTCTCTCTCTCCCTGCTTCCTGCTGCCGCTATCGAGAGCCAAAAAGAGCGAACGGAAAAATTAAGGGAAACGAAATGAAAGGAAAGGGAAATGTATATATATCCCCGAGAACAATATCATAAAGGAATCCTTCTTCTTTCCCTAGCTCCCTCATACACTTTCTGTGCTTTTGCTGAGCCGGAGGTGATAAGGAGGGAGGAGCGGGGGTGAGAGGAAAGGGTGGTGGGAAGTGTAAAAACAAAGTAAAAAATAAAAAACACAATAAATAAATAAATAAATAAGCTTGTGTTGTGGGATATGTACGGCGTGGTGTGTGCTGTGTGTGGGCGCCCAAGTTTGTGGAAGAGGGTGGGTGGGAGGAGAGAGAGAACAACTCCAACGTCCAGGCTGGCAGACTCGCAAGCTTCCAAGAAAATACCCGTATTTCACTGTTTCCCGCGATCCTTCCGGGAACCAACCCGGACGCTAGAAACGACCGCACCAATTGGTGAAGAGTAGATGGCTCGAGGAGAAGTTTCGGGAGCAGAAGCTCCAAGAGCCGCCGAGTTGTATGAGCTGGGAAGGGGTGTGTTGTGGAGGGAGAGGGCTAGCAGCGGAGGCGGAGGTGAGCAGCGAGCAGGTAGAGAGGTAGGCATAAGCAGGTGGGAAAAATTAGCTGCACCGTATGTACGAGTAGGAGAGGAGGAGAAGGATGATGAGAGACACGCAGACGTTCTTGGTAGACGCAAGGGAGAGGAGGAGCAGAGCTAAGTGGACAACAGAACAGCACTTTGGTGGGAGGGGAGGGGGGAGGTCCAGGTATTATTACTGCTTTCTTTTTTTTCCCCTAAGAAGAAGAAAAAACCCTTCCTCTCCTCCAACACCTCTGCGGTCATGGAATTCGAGTGGATGGATACAATATGTATCCTGTCCGTCCTTCTCTTCCTGCTTCTTGCCCCTCTGAAGAAATGCGGCTGCAGGCCGTGCGAGGGCAAGGCCTACCGCACGTCTGGCTGCTGCTGGCCAAGACGTTAGGCTTAGCCGCTCGCTCGCCAGCAGTGCAACAAGCCCAAGCAAGTTGTTAGAAACCAAGCCCTGGTAGGGGTTACCGTAAATAGCTGGTTACTCGAGTAGTGTATTCCGGCCAAGAGGCGAGGAATGGGGAAAGAAGAAAAGAAAAAAGAAAAAAAAAAGACAAAACAATTCGATCAGGCAATCGGGCAGTGGGAGACGAGACCTTGGTAGGGATGATAAGTTAAGCCACTGTACTCAAAGTGGAGGAAAATGGAGTATATGGCTGTGTGTTATGTGTTTTATTTCCGGGGTGCGAACTGAGCCCCTCTGTCCGTATGCCAGAGGGTAATTCAAGGTAAGAAGAGGTTACGCTACCGTGCCCGTACTAGTACTGGTACAAGTACTTTTGCACCTCTGGAGCTTTGTGTGTAAAATATGTGTGTGGGTGTGTGAGCCACCACGGATGATACTGTACGGTACTCGAGCACCTATATAACACAAATAGCATCCGGATTCCAAAAAAGAACAATCCCGACACGAGAAGGGGAAACGCGTGATCCGGCGACACGGCGAATGGCACGAAAAGAAAAAAGCTGCGCTAGATGTGTTTGAAGCTAGGGATACCCGACGAGAGTGAGTGAGTGAGAAGAGCTAAGGTATCATGCCTCACACACAGCAACAGCATACCGGTACCTGTGTGAAGAATCATGCCGGATCATGAATTAAGGATTCCGCACTATACCGGTAACCTATCTAATCATACTCGAACGCATAGCCGTCCCCCACGAGCATCATTTGGGTATTCCGTCGTACGCAAGATTAACCTTCACGAACCCTCACGCTCTGTGGAAAACCGCATTATAACTATCACCACTGCCATACAGGCAGAATATCATACCGGTATCATAGCCTTCCGGCACAGGGAAAGGAAGGGGAAGGAAGAAAAAAAAGTGCCAAACCGAGAATTAGAAACGGCACGGACAGAACCTCAATCAGGTCAAGCAAAGCCAGGCCGCCAAAGCAGAGGTACGAGAAAGGACGGGCCACATGTCTAGAGAGGGGGGGGGGGGGGGAGAAAGGGAAAAGAAAAAAACGAGATAAAGGAAGAATCGGGGAAAGCGGGGGTGGGGAAGGAAAGGGACATACTGTGAAAAGAGCAAAGATGCACTGAAACAAACCCCCCAATCAACTTTGTCGATGGGATAAATGCAGACTTTTAAGAGGGAGGAGAAAGAAAGGCGGGACGGATGATTTGCGTTCCGTTTTTTCATCTATTTACTCATTTTACCCCATTTTTTCCTCAGGCAATTCTGTTTGGTGCACCCGGAAGGGTCTGCCGTTGACCGCGCTATCGTAGCGTAGGAGTAGCAGCTGGAGCGGTCGGGACGCTGGATGGATGGGCAGTCAGGGAGAGAGGAGGAAGGGGGAGAAGGGAAGCCGTGGTGCATTCTTGCCTGGACCTGTTTTCTCCGCAGTGCAGGAGGGCAATAATACAGTGCGAGTATCATAATATAATGATGCCGGGACAAGGAACCAACAGGATACCGGTATGTGGTATCATAGGTGGGGTAGATACCGGCGCCCCAGCGGCCCAGCCTACCCCAGCCTCAAACCGCTGCTAGGATTTCCGTCCAGAACACTTCTACGAGTACGCTATCAAGCCATAATATCCACCAGTAAACGTCCGTCTAGCATCCCGTAAAGACTATGAATCTATGATACCAAGAATAACCCAACCCGTGGGGTGCCGGGCACTCGAAGTCAACCCGAAATATCAACACACGAAGAATTTTCCAGAATAAAGTTTCCAACCACAATCACGTCCTTGGGAAGGCCCGGATTGATAGAGGCGCTCGGGAGACGCTCCTTTCCAGCCTCACCCCCGCTAATTTCCGGTCGGGGCGATGTTCGTGGAGCGGCAAAACTTGGAATTATCCTTCTCGAGGATATTTCAGCCAAGCCCCACTATTTTTGTATGCATTGTACCGGTATTATGTGATCAAACTGTTGTTCACGAGCATCGATCTCGAGTTCCCGGCGCCATCAAACAAGAATCCCACCATGTCCTTCGCACTCCGATGAGACGGTACAGTCCCCCCCTCCAACGACATTGCCTAACCCCATCGGCAGATCACAAAGCAAATCATCACCACTGATGGTCAACCGGTCACAGGTCAAATGGTCAAAGCGGGGAAGAGAGCAGGCTACCGAATCCCCCCCCCATCAAAAAAATAAAAAACAAAAGAGAAAAAGAAAACAAAACAAAACCAGAAGCGACCGTCAGGGCCAGGGTTAATAATATTGATAATTCGGGGGGGGGGCGCTTCCAGCTGATTCAGTTCAAAGGGAACAGCGGAAACTCTGGTTTCCCCCACACAATGCATGCATGCGGTGCGGACGACTTGCATTAAATCTTTCAAAACTCTTTACCAGCGCGGCCGGTAGAGATAGCTATCGTGTGGAGTCCGATAAGCAAAAGCAGCTTGTTGCAACCATCACCCTCATATGTGCAGCCTTGGGGCTTATTGCTACAACTATACAGATATCTCTATCTTAGCCATTCCTTTAGAGCATAGAGCAGGAGGTATGGATAGCTGAAAATAATGATTATGTATACTCCACAATGGAAGAGTTGGGAACATAGAAGCAAAATATGCTTGGTTGACCGGCTACTAGCTCAATCCCCAGATGTAAACAAAGTAGAATATCTTTAGAACCATTTGAAGGATTCATTGGAAGAGTATTAGTTTATAGGCTAAAGTCGGAGTAGGGGAGGAGGCACACAAACAGAGCAGAGTGAAAGGAGATACTACTAAGCAGGTAACTTGATGAATCGTCATTGTTTGAATCTTTAAACGCTACAATTGTACCTCTCCCTCAAGTCACAATACACTGCAGACACAGGCATCATACTCAATGGAGACATAAGCAATATGTTGTTGCCGGTTACAAGTACAAGGTGCCGCTCTCGCTTATCACACACTTCACATGACGGTTACATCTATCGGAGACACTCATACTGCGCAATCGGCCCCTTAAAACCATGGGTCAATCACTCATTCTTCCTTCCTTCCTTCCTTTCTTATACGCATTGCGCTGCAGGGGATTTGGTGAAGCGTGGAAATCCCTTTTCCCTACCGTGGGATATATCATTATTATTATGAAAGAGTTGATGGGTACTGTACCGGTACGACGTAGTACCGTTTGGAGTACCGGCAACAGAATATCATAACCGTACAAGGCTCCGAGGTTCGCGCATCCGTTAACTACCGTACCGTGAGCACAAGTGCCTGTCGGGCCTAGACTAAGTCTTAACCAACCTATCCAAGTTGTTAAGTCTCCGTAGCAGGGCAAGTGGGTAGGCGGGCGAAGTGAGGTACTGTAAGGTAAGGTACAGTGCCCACAAGTTGAGTACGGCAACTCGACTACCGGTATCATACCTAGCCTGGGCGGACCAACTCTGACGGCCGACTCGGAACGGCCAGTTGTGCCTACTGCCCACCTCTCTCAATTGACAGGGCTCATTTAGAACGAGAATGGGGGTATGATAGGAATTCGTGGCAGCAGTCGGCGTCAGCGGTCTTGGGGCATCACGGCCCTGTGCACTTCCATCGATACAGTGTTGAAGAAAAAAAGGAAAGGGAAAAAAAAGAAAGAAAAAAAAGAACAAGAATGGGAAGTTTACGACGTCCAGAAACGGTATTGTGCCAGAGTTTTGCCGGCTGCTTTCCTGCAGGATGGTACTTGCTGTGCAGTACACCGGTGCTTTGTATTATATCGTGGTCCAGTTTTTTTTTTTTCTTATGACGGCAGGCTATGGGTGATCTATCATACTCGTAACTTGACTTCGGATGGTTAAAATAAAATAAAAAATCTATGATACAGCTCAACCGGACGTGGGGATATATCGACCAGTCAGGGAATAGGATCTTTGCTCCAGCTTGACCACTGAGGCGAAGAGTTTGACAGACTTTTTTTTCTTTTTCTTCTTCCCTCTCCACCAAAAGTGCAGCGTACCTACAGTAAATGGGGGGATAGCCTTTTCGCTGCATATCCCACGTTACACGGGCCCTAGATTCGAGGAACCAGAACCGAGGATGAACGATAACTTATATAATATTATTGGAGGGCTTGAACAGCGCACACTACGGTAGGCTCCGGTCGAGTACTGTATCATACTGTGACAGTCACCGCACTATATGAGCACTAGTCAGTTAGCTAGTCACAGCAAAGCAAGACTCCCCCACGATGCGTGCGAACACTTTCCTACCCGCTGGCACTGGACTCTCCCTTAACTGTATAGACTACCACACTGTTACTAATACTAGTACTAACATGGCCCACAATCCCATCTTTTTTTTCTTTTTTTTCCCCTTTGTCTCTGCGCCCAGGCACGGTAAAGGTACCAATACAGTATGATACAAGTAAGTAAGTGAGTAGGCTAGACAGAGTCGCCGTTCACGCGGCTCATCGACTTACCGAAAAGCAGGTACAAGTACTCGAGTACAGAAGGGGGGGGGGGGTT